GATGAGAAATTATATAAATGCTGCTTTTTTAGAGTTTGCTTTTTAACAGTGCATGTTTAGAAATATTTGCAAATGTGTTTCCAAGGAAAAACATGTCAACATCTTTAGAAGAGATTAAATTCATTAAATCTAATTTTATGTTACTTAATTTGTTAGAGTTTGAGGCTGAGGAGGTCTATTTTGGCACTGTATAATTTATTCATGAGGGGATGGGAAGAGTGTGCGCAGCTCCTGGAAAATAAATTCCTTGAATGTAAAGGAAAACCAAGTTTTTCTATGTTGAATGTTTTTTTTGTGATAATGGCAACCGTAACAAGTGAGTTGGAAATAGTATGAGGACACTTGAACTTTGGGAGACAAGAACTGTTTGGTTAATACTTGATACAGCAAGCTTTTCCAGTCAGCTTATGCAAGGAAGTGTGGCTTTTCTTCTATTTTAATAATTTTTACCCTTCAGCAGAAGTTTTTTTACAGACTATTTTTTTAGGCAGAAAATTGCTTAGCATTTAAAGTTTCTTGAATAGCTTTTTATGTATAAACATTTTAACTCAACTTATGCTAATGCCTTTTAGAAAATTTTTTTTTATACTAGCAGTATGGGTTAATTTTTAGCCTGTGTCTAGGTAGTCATTGGCAGGATTGCTTCCTAAGAGTTACTAAAAGGTTTAATTTTTTTTTTTTCAAGTTTTTGAGGACAACAAACCAATTAAAGATGTTTACTATCAATTAGAGTGCTTTGTTTGGGAACCTTTGTAAAAGAACAAGTCCAAAAAATTGTGTTAAAAATGACAGCAAATTGGATGCCAAGTAGACCTAAATGTCCACAGCTGTTCGTCGTGTACATATGCAGGACAGACAGTGGTTGGTTTGCATAACCTTCCTCACACTGTGTGTCCTTTGACTTTTGTGTCTGATTGTGACACTTAGAAGAAATATATTTTGATAAAATGTAGTAATTATCTTTCTGTAGTCACCAGATTATACCTGGACTATATTAAAAGAACCAGAACTGTGGTAGCACTTTCTGTGATGCAGGTATATCTAAGCTGAAATAAAGGACTTGAAATAAAATGTGATTTCACCTGATGATACCTGAGCAGCAGCCTTCATCCTTCTCTCCTCTGCCCCCATGGTAAAAAGAAACTTTGCTTTTGCCCAGTGAAAGATGAAGTGCAACAACTAGATTTAAAAATGCACTGTTCTATTAGTGTTTTATTTTGGTTACCCAAATCCAAAGAAAAAACTTTCCAGTACTGATCTTTGGATGGACCTCTGTTTAACAGAGTTTAACATGCTGCAGTTTTCACAGCTGTCTGAAATTGCCCTCCTGTATCAAAAAGATGGGGCTGGGACGGTCTCATTTCTCCAGCTGGCTGGCTTGTCTACTGGGCTGCAGTTGTGCTATGACTGACCCAGTACACTGGGGTATTTCATGCACTGAAATTTGCCAGCAGAACTGGTGATGAATCTCTCCATCTAAGAATAGCAGGTTTGGTTATTACCTTTATGGACACTTGAATCCTCTCAGATGGAATAGACTTGTCCTACAATTTAAGGTAGTTTGTACTACCACATTCCTTCTTAGAAGGCCACATTCCTTCTAAAGTGTGTGTGTGTTCTTTTAAGGATCCAGTCTTCTGTAAGCAAGGCTAGAGGATCCTGCTGCTCAGAAAACACAACTTCTGGATCCTTCATTAGGAGACATTTTCTCTTATATAATACATTTGCTCATATATTCTGTTATCTCATTCAGGAAAAAGTATGAGTTTTAAACTATCTTGTGCTTAATAGTTCTTTTTGACTATCACTAAGCAGAAGAGAAATATCTGCCCAGTGATCTTGGCTTTTGTGAATCCAAGCAAGGGCCTAGTTTTTATCCAGAGTTCAGGATTCCGCTTGTGATCACTCATGCATGAGTTTTAAATTGAAACTCACAACCCTTACCAGCCTAGACAGGACTTAATTCATCAACATGAAGTCTTCATTCTGTAAAATGTGGTTGTATTACCTTTCAAACACATGCCTCTGGAAATAGATCTTGAAATATTAGTCATTCATATAAACAAACCTGAGGAGTTTTACTTCTTTTAAAAGTGCAGTTTTATACAGCTGTACATTAGCTTCTGTTTCACTGGATCATCACTACTCCTGAATTCTTTTACCATTTCAAAGAGTTTGGGGTTAATTTAGTTACAACATTAATATAAAAAATGTTCATAATGTCATTGAAACAATACTCATACCTTTTATGGCAGAAGACACATATTCTTAACTGCTTAGAGCAAAGTTGTTTAAAAATTACTTAACATTGTGATACCATAGCCTTTCTTATCACTTTATCTTTTTTCTGATATCCTTTGTAATCAGAAACTGCTTAAGTATATGATGCTTATGTGGTGAATTTTAATCTAACTTTATATGGTAGAGCCCTTCAGAATTATTTTTTTTCTCCAGTAGTACTGTGCTAATGACTTTGGAATTTAAAGGTCACTGTAAAGCACAATAAGTTGGCTGAAGGAGCCCATGCAATTTTAATAGTGCTTAGCAGGCTGGTGAAAAGAGCAGTCTTTAACAGTATGCATGTTCTGTGGGAGTTACTGCTTTATGATGTGCAGACATTGAAGGAAGAATGCCAGTGGACTGGAAAGTTGTTACAGCTTAATGATATCCTGCAGTTCGATAAATGCCAAGGCAAACCAACCGTGCTCATTTTCAACCTAGGATAAATTGATTTTGTGATAATTTCTTACATGATTAAATAATGTCTTATGCCAGTATGATTATTTTCTCTTGCTATTCATGTAACAGCTTGTCTATGGAAGCTTTTCCTTTTCAGTGCACATTTCTTTTGCCCTGAGAAGTTTATGCACCATGAGCAGGTGTATAGCAATGAAATGTAATTAAAAATTTGTTGTCTGTGTAGGTGGGTTTTTGTTTTCATCTTCCCTCTCCCCCCCACCCTTTGCCTCCATGCCGTCAATTAAATCCAGCATTAATCAGCCTCAAAATAACAAGATGTTTAAGGGAGTGGCTGTTTGGGTTTTTAGGAGATATTCTCAGGATGTCTAGGGCTCAGCATTCTGCCACAGGTAATGGATATAAGCTTAAGCCTAATGCACAGCATTAAGATTTGTTAAGATATTTCAGGAAAGAATGCACATTGCAAATGTCAACATATTGTAATGCAGAAGTAAAATGAAAATTGCACAGAGAATGTTAATTACTTAGAAGTTGTGGCACATGGAAAACAAGTTTAGAAGTTATTACTTTCTTTTTATAATAATTTAATGTTAACCATAAAACTGGCCAAACTGATATAGTTTTCTCTTCCCTCTAGCTTCATTGCATCTTTTTTTTTCTTCTCCTTGCAGAATAACAGAATACATTGTTTGATATGGACTGAGTGTTCAGTCTGTCTTCCAGCTTTTAGTGAAGTATCTTTGCAGGGAAGAGAGATAACTTAAAAGAAATTAAATTCTCCATTTTGTGAGGTGACATGCTTTGAAGTTTTTTTGTTTGTGTTTGGTTTTTTGTGGTTTTTTTTTTGTTTTGTTTTTGGTTTGTTTTTTTTTTTGTGTGTGCATATGATCTTTCCACCAAGCTGAATTTGACCTAGGTAAACTTTATTTGTCAACTTAAAGGTTTCAAGCACTCCTTCCCACTCTGATTAAAACATACAGTATTGTCTGTTTGACTGCAAGCTCCCCATGAGTGCTGCCTTCTGAAGATACTTAGTTTGTTTTGTTGAAGTTACTACTTGCATTGTAATATTTCACATAAACTGAAATTGTATTGGCAGTGCTTTGGGTGTGTTAAATAGAAATTCAGCTGAAGTAAGCAGCACTGACAGGTTAAACAGTGGCAAACACTCACTGAACTGTGTCTTTAGTGGTATATGTAAGGGTTTCCTCTTAACTTAGTCACCCAACACTGTGCTACAGCAGGCAAAAGCACTTTGCTTTGCTCTCTAGTTTTTTTGGTTTACTTTTTTGTGCTGACATGTTGAATAGTGTTTTTTTGTTGGAAGGAAATGATGAAAACTGGTCATAGAATCATAAATTATTTGGGTTGGAAGGTACCTTAATCTAGTACCATCCCCACTGGCAGGAACACTTTCCACTAGACCAGGTTGCCCATTCAGGCTGGCTTGAACCAGCAGTGACAAATTACCATGTACCAGCTCTTCTCCTGTGGTGCTATGTACTGAAAAAATCAAATCTTCATGTGCTTCAAAATGCAAATGCAGTAAGGGCACAACATGTCACCTGCCAAGTGCCTTAAGGAAACAATTAAATCGATCTCTTAAATTCTGTTTTGCTCTTCCCATTTAATTTTTTTAGACAAAGTTCCCATTTTGTATTTTCCATAGTGCTGGAATTAGACAAAGAGTAGGTTTTGGAAAGACTACAGTACACATCACTGCATTATGTCTGGTACCCCTTTCCGGGGGTATTTTTTTGTGTCTTTCTGTTTCCCATATGTCTTTTTCCAACCTATATGTGTCATTTGGCTCATTTAAATAAATACACAGGGAAAAATACATTTCAGTGGAAATCCACTATAAACTCCAGAGTTTAATATAGTGGAATTGTAGTGAATCATATAATTTAAAAGAAAGAAGACATTAGAATAACAAATCTACAGATAATTTCTGTGGATTCAACTTACTTCCTAGTATTTCCTGTGATTACTGATTTTGATATATGACCAGGAATTAAGTGTAATGCTTTGGGTATACTGTAAATGAACATGGTTTATAACTGGATAGAGCTGGTGCTGTTGGACAGTCTGAAATACTGCTGTATCAGAACACAAGTTCCATCTTCCTGCTTTTATTAAGTAAATTGTGTGTATATCTGTAATGGAAACCTTATAAAATCTGTCAGGGAATGGGAGAATTTCGTATTTACAAACCCAAGCTGGTTGAAACAGTCGTCCTCTTGGGAGCAAATAGTGAAGGGTTTTACAAACACCTACTGAGTGAAGAGAAAAATATGTGCGAATTCTTGTGCTTTATTTTGGAATTTGAATGCCCAGACTTGTCTTCCTCTGAAATAAATAATTTAACTTTATGAACATTAATAAAGGGAACTTAATGCTTTCAGCAGATTCTAATACTAAAATAACAATTATTCAACAGAAGATTTTTTTATAAGCAGCATTATTTCAACCAGTAACTTTCATAAACTTGAAATTTCCATGCCAATTTCCATTAGTGCCCCATTTATGCATTAAATATACCAAAACAAGTGAGTGTACCTATGCTAGGTGTGATGGCACTGCCTAGAGTAACACAGTATTGACTAATATTTTTACTTTGGTCACATTGTAGATGGGGCAACTGGTTTGATTCTCAAGAAAATTCTAACACTCCACTTAAAAATCAGTTTTAGTTTCATGCTCAGTTGGTATTTGTACCTTAGACATAAGTTTTAATAGCTTTGTCTATGTCAGTCTAAATTGTCTGTTGTGTTTGAAAAAATACTGCATTTTTGAATGATGTTTCTTCTTCATTCTCTTAATTTCCTTTTGCAAAGTAATACTAAACTTAATCAGAAACTGTACTTAGCTGATTGTGTCAGAGCTTTGTGCAGATTTAAATTATTCAATCTGTAGTAAAACTTGCCTGAGTTATCTTCAGGTAAATATCTGATTAATTCTAAATTCCCTGTGGATTTCTGTAGCCCAGAGTCCCGTCTGTTTTAAAATAAATACATTTAAGAAAAAATTCTATGCTTCAATGGATTTTTCAGACAAGGACTGAAGCAAGTCCTTATAAATAGCAGAGTTCATAAACCGTGGGTAAGAGTCTCTATGCATTAAGGTATAAATTTGAAGCTGTGCATCATCAAAGGTGTGTTGTGAGGGTTCCAGCATATTTCGGTTAATAACTTCTCTTACTCTGGAGTCCAGACTGACCTGCATATTAAAATAGAAAGTAATGTAAATAATAGTGGTGAGTAGTACAGGTGAGGTCTTAGTTTTGTTTCATTGCTTGAAAAAGCCATCTTTTTTAAGCATTTCAGCTGGTGTCCTCCAAGACTGTAAAAATTGCTAAATAAACTTTTGCAAAAAATGATTCTGCCAAAATTTGAATGGAATAATATCTTAAGTATGGGTAATATCCTTACTGAGGTACCTTATTTGAACAAGGCTGTCTGCAATCCCATTATTACTGAGACCGATGGGTTATTTCCAGACCAACTTCCTGCTCTGTAGTAGAGAGCATTTATAATTTTTGTGACAGTTCATTTCCTGGAGAGTTGGTGCTGTTGTAAAAGAGACTGAGTTTGGAGTAAGAGTATGACGCAGGTGGACAATGTAACCTGGGAAGCTGTTTCTTAATCAAATTGCTGTTAAAAAGCAGAGTGAATTGATGTGAACCACAGGTAGGGCTATATAATGATTCTATACAACATACAGTAATGTAGTTTGGTTTTTTTTCCTGCAGGTTCTATGTAGAGAGATATTAGTATTGCAGGAACAGACTGGGTAGATTTAAACTGCGTTTTTATAAGTACATAAGTATAGCTGGCACAAAAAAAATCAAATTGCAATTTTGCAAGGATGTTGAAAGGTTTAAAATTCTAGCCTGCTTGGCAGGATTATATTAAAACTGTACTGAGGTGTCTTTGAAACTTGACATATTTGCTAACAGCAAAGTAGTTTTGAAAATTTTGGGGAAGTCATTGTGTTTGTTCTATGCCATATTTTGCCAGCTGCTCTGGAAGAAATGTGTCTTTGAAAATGACATTTTATTTGTGGTTACTGTGCTTTTGGAGAAACGTATACACCCTCTTCTGAGTGTAATGAGAAAAGGACTGATTTGTCCAGCAAATAAAATTTGAGTTGGGCAAGAATAATGTGATCAGCCATATATTTGTGCCTCAAACTAAAAATTCCACATCAGCATGCCAGGGTAGCATAGGAAGAGCTTCCTTACAACCAGTGAAAGTAGTTTTGACCATCTCACTTTAATGATGGTTGCTTTCTTCCCCTAAATATCTACTTGATGGCAGTGGAATGTGGGGGGCAGGGGGTGGGGGAGAAGTTCTCCCTGAGTATTGCTGTAGCTTTAAACACATGTTAAAAGTAACTGTGCAAAGAAACATCAAAGAATGTATTAGGGAAAGCAATATACCTCCTTTGGAGAAAGGATAGAAATATAATCTTCATAAATTAGTCTTGCTTTTTCTTCAATGACGCTTTTGTTGGATTCTTGTTTTAGTTCCTCACAGGCCATCCAGAAAAGCATGTTTTCCTCGCTGAATTCTGTTCGCAGAAATTCACGAAAAGCATTTCTGCCAGCTGGAGTAAGCATCAGCTTGTCAAATGACTGAGCCCAGGCATTTACTTCTTCAAGAGTGGGAGCAGGGCTTGAGGAGGAAGAAGAGCAAAAGGAGAGAAACTAATTATTGCCACCACAGTGGAACAAAATTGTGAGGTTCATGGGGTTCTGGTTCCTCACTACCCAAGTGCAAACTCGTGTAAAAACATTTATAAGATGTTTTTTGAAAGTGTGCTTATCAAAAGCTCTGATGCAGGGATTGCCTCTGCTTTGATGCAGAAATTGCAGTTTACTGCTCAGAGTAATTGCAAAAAAGAAGTACCCGTGCAACAGCTAGACATTTTTTCTATCCCTAATATCCCTTGTTAAATTATAGTTAAAAATGGAATGAAAATACATATAAAGAAGCAATGATTCAAACACTTTGAAAGGTGTGTTACCTTTTTGCACCTTTTTGTGTGTGCTTTTACCTGTTTGAGCCTTTCTGAAGAAACTGTTGCCTGACTTTTGGAAGGTTTTAAGCTCCAGTTTGTTATTTTTGTAAGTTTGAGCACTGCTGGTTAAGCTCATTGTACACTTTTGCTGGGTGGGAGCAGGGTGTATTTAAAATTATGTCAGGAAAAAGGGAGACAGTTACAATGCTGGTTTTAATTTGTCCTGGGAGTGGGGATGTGCTTACGTGCTGCATATAAATGAAGCAAAATATTATAGATCAGCCGTTTGGTTCATTAAAAGGTAAAAAAACAGGTGACTTGCAAATTGGGTGTAAATAACAAGTAGATAATAGTTATTTTCATATTTCAGGTAAACCACTGCAATTACTTAGTATGGTTTGTTGGGTTTGTTTCATTTCAGCTTGACAGAACACTTAATATAGACCATACCTTTCCTCACAGTTTGGAATACCCTCTGCTTGGAGTTCATGAGATGTTCTCCTTGCTCTCTCTTCTTCTTGATTTCTAACAGTAAGACTGCAAGGTTGCAAACAAAGTTTTAGTCAACTTTATAGAGAAAAAGGCTGAACATAAACCAGATACTTTTCCTTCTATACTAAAAAAAAAAAAATTCTAAAAGGACAGAAGATGATGATAGGCACATTACCCACAGTTACATTCTGACCTTATTTTTACAATTGTATAAACCTTGAGTGTAGCTGAATGCTGTTTAATATTCTATAATACAGATTTTATACAGAAGGAGCATAGTTCCATGAACATAAACCAGATACTTTTCCTTCTATACTAAAAGAAAATAATTCTAAAAGGACAGAAGCTAATGATAGGCTGTTTAATATTCTATAATACAGATTTTCTACAGAAGGAGCATAGTTCCGTAAAATATTTCAAGTTGAAGGGACCCATAAGGATTGTCAGGTCCAATTCTATATGTATATATGTATATATATACACACACAAGTGTAAATGGGATGTATATGTATACATGCATACCCTTTGTCACATACCAAATCTGTTCTCCCTTGGTTTTTGTACTGTGTATGCTCAGTGCAATGCTTTTACTTAAGCTGGACCTGATGCATTGGTTTTATGTGAGTTAAGTTTCAAGGTAGGTGGGTTTGGGTTTGTTTGTTTGCATTTTTTTTTCACCTCAGTTGTGATGAGGGCCAAGACTCTGGTTTGGAATGGTGATACCATGTCAAAGGAAAGCCAGAGTTTAGAAGCAGGACGCAAGATACAAGAGAGCTAAAGACTTCTGTATGTGGTGTTGGAAGGGTAAGCATCTTTCAGAGTTGACATGTAGATACAGCCAGATTTTGTGGTGATTGATTGCATCTTAGAAAATTGTTAATACATGCATCAAAATGTGAGGTCTGGAGCACAAAGAGCAGATCTATTATTACTGAATATAATTTTGAGTATGAATGGAAACACTAGATTGTATCATTACAAAAACAAAATTATCTGCAATCACTAGTGACCACTGAGAGGTATTTTATGTCCTTAAGAAGAGTAGCGGTGAACTCCTGCTTCTTTCATCAAATGTTAGTTAAGATAGCTCTAGTTTAAAAAAAAATCTTTTGTAGTTGTAGATTGTTCATTTTAATTTGAAACTGGATTGGAAAATATACTTTTTTTTTTTTAGGGAGTGGGGACTACATTCCAGTTCATCATTTCATTCCAGTTTATGGCAGCTTAGTGAGAAATGCATGTGCATACACACATGCTGTCATATAATCTGTAAAGCTGCTTAAAATATGTCAAGACTAAAAGGTCTCAGTGTTTTTTATATTTTATATTGCCTGGTATTTATATGAAATGGGCCCTCCAGCTGAAACAAAGCAACACAGTTGCTATAACTTCTAGGGAAATACCAAACTTAATTTCTTCATTTGTATCTTACCTTTCTTTGATGCTAATATTCTGAGTTTTGCTGCCTTAATCCCTAAGAATCTCATTTATCTCTAGGAAGGTGTTTTGTTAAACCAGTGGATTTTTCTGCCTGTTTTGCATTCTAAACTCTTGGCCAAGTCTTATTTGCAGCCGTATTATTTACTGGGCATCCCCTTCTCCGTCTTTGTCTACTGTTAGTCCATAATCTGCAGAGACGTGCTTTTCTCTTTGCCATGGCAGTCCATGTGTTGAAGTATAGGAAAGCTTTTGTATTTGCTAAAATGGAGAGCAGATAGTGCAAACACTTTTTTTCAGCAATATCTGAACCATATGTTCAAACCAATGAACTATGTCAACTAACCTTTTCAGAAAAAAAAATAGGAAAATGTACTTAGTAATGCTAGTTCTTTTTTTCTGTTAGGTTATATGGGTCTTTACTACCCTTTTTACCTGTGGTTCTGGCCTTTTTTGAATATGTAAAGTGATATATATTCTCACACACAGACTAGCTCTTATCAGAGCTATTTTTGAATTGAGAGGAACCAACAGATCCAGCAGAAAGGAATATGGTCTTATGGGATAATGCACAGAAAAGCAAAAAGACCAAAGAAATAACAAAAGCCTCCCTAAGAGAACATGCCATGCTTCAGAAAATTACTTACAGGCAGGCTCTTTCCCTAGAAATGTACAAGTAAACAATAAAGAGACTGGTGCAATACTGTATCCTCTCAGGATCTGGGAGAGTAACAGGCTGGAGGCTTGGGTTTGACTGTAGGAATGAACACAGGCTCTGAGCATCCAGCTGAGACTCATTTCAGTTCATTCTAAATCTACTATTAAGAATATGCTGAATATTGGATGTTCAGCAGCTCAGCAGCATGACTCATGGGGACTGTTATTTTTATTCCTATTCATAATCTTTCTGTTCCAAGAGCTTAGGCTATTTTGAGGAAATGGTCTATGAATGGGGAACATAAATAGCTTAATTACGGTTTGTTTTGCATTTCTTGCTACTAGAAAACAATTGTTTCAAAAAAAAATCAGAAATTATTTTAAAGCTGAAACAAGCTACTCTGTTTGTGAGCCTGTATTGGTTTCCCAGATGATTCTGAAATGCAAATAGGAATTTTAAGCATCATGAAATTTGGGTACTTTCACAAACCCTACTGGAGTAAATTGCTTTCTTTGAATTGTTTGAATAGTGAGATACACAGAAAATGAGCATCCTGGAAAATATCAGGTAAAATGGCAAAAAAAGCATACTTTATCAACAATTTAAAAGGTAAAATGCAAATTTTGTATACCGTGACTTAGTAGATAAATGTATCTTATTTTTTCCTTTAATGGAAAAACATTTTTGTGTAGTGCAGCTCTGGACTGAGCCACTTGCAATTGCACTGGACAGCTGTTGAAATGGCATTGGAATTTGTATGGGATGCTTTAATATAGATGCAGTAGGTCACAAACTGATCCTGTACAGGCAGAGTGTTAATGTCTCTCTAAATTCTACCTTAGTTTACCTCTAAGCACCTGCTGAAAAGCTTGGTAGGATCAGAGCCAGAGTTCTTGGCATCTCACAAAAAAACCCCAAACCTCCAAGCAGCATTTTGTTCTTGCAAAATATTCACTATTTGCATCAGGGAGGGCAGAATCTTGTGTGTCTTGGCTTCTGATGAGTACCAATGGCAAGGAAATGATCAGTCTGCTCTTCCCTTGCCTTCTAATGGTGTTCTCCAAAGCATTTGCCACAAGGTGCTATTGGAAAACAACATTAGTGGAATAGATTCCTAGCCCAGGCTGTAAGGTTATTTGTGACCACTTCCCATCACCTCAGTGCCAAGTCTGCTTGCTCTGAAGTGTTTATGTGGTGGATGGTGAATTTCTAAGAAGCATTCCACTTGCTGTCAGAATTTTGGCTAAACTCTATGGCTGTTTTTGTTTATTTAAATGCAAGTTCTACTCTCACCCATGAAGTAACACTGCGCTAACCAGACAGAGGGCTTTTGAGTATGGGAAGATTTACTTCAGTTTAGAATGAAATCACTTGGATCTGGAGGGGCTGGTAAGAAAGAGAAGGTGAACACATTGTTAATTTAAGGAATCAAGTGATTCCTCCTCTTTTGCTTTGATGGATATATTTTCTTCCTTAGCAGGAGTGGGACTTTTGTAATGGGAGTTTTTCTGCATTTTTTTCTGCTTAGCTCCTTAACTGCAGCAAATAGACAGTTTAAAGAATGTTTAAAGTTTCTGGTCCCAGTGATGATCTTCATATGAGTTGCATGTGCCATGAGTTGGCAATACTAATTAATGACAACAGATCGGGGAAAAGAAGTGTGCTGGGCACCTGCTTATCCATTTTCTGACCTACAAATCCTTCCACCTTCTCCTAACTCCATTTAACACCTTTGGTGATGCTTTGATCATGTCAAGGCCCAAATCTAAAACTAAAGCTCTGACATATTCTGGTATTGCTTTGAGTTTTTAGTGGGACCCTTGGTGAAACTCAGTGCTGAGGAGACCCTGTCCAGCACAAAACAAACATTACACAGTACTGACAAAAAACGGGCAATAGAGATACTGTACAGATATTTCCTTTAAAATCTGTTGTTTCAATGGCAGGGGAAAGAAAGAGTACACTGGAGTAGAGGGTTGTGCCTAGTAGTAGAGCACAGCTATCTCTTTGTGTCCCAGATCTGCAGAATTTTACAAGTGTTTCCTTTGGCTTGTGTTGTCCTGTGCAGAAGCTATGTGTCCCTTCCCTGCTATTCTGTTCCCTAGAGGCTTGGATGAGAGGGTTACCATGAGCAGCTGCAGCAGCAGCACCAACAAAAGCAGCAGGCATTGGAGCCTCGATTTCCTGTGCTGAGCTGAGCCTGTGCAGCGCCTGGGCTCTCCGGGGTCGCAGCCATCTGCCGTTTGCGGATCTCCGTCCTCTCCGATCCCATGGGCTGCAAGCAACAAAGGAGGGGGGAAGTAAGAAACACCTCTCTCTTTTTTCCTTTTTTGTTTGCTTTAAAAGTCTTACCCAGAAGTGCTGAAGGCCACAGCCTCAAGGGAACTGAAAAGCTAAGATTTTCCCCCATGGAAGTTCTAAGGTGTTGAATCCTTTGGAAGATTCACTCATTTGAGTGCTGTGGTGGAAGGCAAAGGGCTAATGAATTCTTCACGTGCGTGGGAATGCAATGAGAGGGGAGCGGTGATGCAAAGAACAAAAGGTATGAGTGAGGGGTCTTGGAGAGCTAGAGCTCTTGGCACAGAAGTGTATCAGCCTAGGAGTTGAAAAGGGTTTCCTGAGGTTTTGACTTCAAGGCCATCCTAAGGAAAATGGTACAGAATAGTAGTTAGGGCCTCTTTTATTTTTTTCTTTCTTTTACCTGATTAGCCAACTCACAGGCTTCACAATGCTTGAGTGAGACACCTGCGCTCTCCTGAAAATGTGGCCTTTGGTGAATATTGAGGATGTCTCAAATCTGCTGGTTCCCTTTATAGCAAAGGGGGAAGGGCCAATGCTCATTTCTCCATTGAAGGTCTGACTGCCACAGTTTGTAAAACTTTTTGCTTCTGTGAAGGTGAGGAGGAAACAAAACTAGATTATAATAATTACATGGTTTTCACTGAGACCCCCAACTGAAGACAGCATGAAACACTTTTTGGTGAATGCACTGGTTGGGTTTTTTGCACAGTTGCAGGAAGTCTTTTTGGAGACTGCATTTTGCAGAGTGTGCAGGTAAGTGATGTTGATGAAATGACAAGTCCCCTTGAAGTCCCTGTTTGTTTCTGACCTATCTCTGAGCTTCACATTTGCTCTACGGCACTTAATAGTGCTCTCCCTGTTATGCTGAAAGTTGTGCCATATGTAAGTGACAGATGTCTTTGAGAGATGAAATGCTAGCTTGTACAAAGATGAGTATGGCTTTCTTAATTTTATTTGTATTTGATTTTTGGATACATAGCTAGTCATCCCCCTGTGTCACGAGATCCCTTTGTGTAGGTTTGTTTCAGGTTGCTAAACTCTCTTTTGAGGCCATGACAATTGTAGGGGAATTAAAATTAGCTGCTACGAATTTTGAGTTTGTTTTTTTTTTTTTAACTATAATATCAGACTTGAATCTAATGAGATAAATACTTGGGGGTTAAAAGTTGCTTTCCTTTCTAAAATGTTCATCCAGGTTTAGGAAATGCTCCTGTTTTAACTTGAGGGGGAATGTACGGATGGTGTCATGGACCCAACAGAAATGTCAGGAGAAGAAAGAATGTTATTTTAGCAGAATGCAGCATTACATTTTGCTGCACTTTGGCTACTGTGGTTTTTTCAATGTTGAATTCATTTCTGTCTTGTAAAGTTAATAGTTTTTGTATTTGTGAGAACCACCCACTCTCCCAAGAGACAAATGCATGACATGGTAGCAGAAGATGCACCTGTGTAGCAGAAGGAATAACATACAAGAACAACAATATAGATAGAAACTACAACCCATTTTAAAACTCTGAAGGCCCAGTCTGACAAGCAATGCATAAATGACCAGAAATAGAAAATCAGAAAAAATAACATAGCTTCCAACTGCCCCTCCCCAACCTTTCTTGTTTCAAAATGTGAAAGGATAACTGAAATGTAGAATGTATTTGTAGATTCAGATTTCTTCCTGTCAGCTTCATATGAATGGAATGAATAAGTATTAATTTCCTTCCAGATACCTGTACTTTTTTTAAATGGAGCATTTTCACATTTCTATTAGAGAATGATAGCATATAAAATATTTTTGGAAGGACCATATATGTAATATTTCAGGCTGCTCTGGACAGTAAACTATTATTACTGATTAGAAAAATGTAACTTGGATTCAGATGTTGTTTATATAGCCTGATACATCCACTCTTACTTCTGAGATAATTTATGTTCACACATTCATATCTCTAATTCATATTAATAATCAGTTAGCCTGGGCTAAACATGATCCGGGGCCCATGTTATAGGATGGCAAGGTAGAGAGCTGAGCAGTGGTGCAGGTTATTACAGAGTTGTAGAAACCCCTTTAGTGCACTTAATACTAAGTTCCATAGGACAAAACCATGTCAGGGTGGTCAGGTACACAGAACAAGAAATAAGTGATCTATCTCAGCACTGTTCACCTCACTTCAGAAGATCCTCATTTTATATATGTAGATATCTTTCTGCTGCTTCTAATATATCCAGAATTTCACTGTAGGACATGGAAGTTTTCCATCACACTTTGCTGCAACCACCAGAGCTGTGTAATGAGCCTTGCCAGGCCATTGCTGGTTTGAGTTGTGCTGTGTGCAGGAATGGGTAGCAGATGTATCAATTAATCCAATGAATATTATTTGTAGGAATTGACAAAATTCCTTGCTCCTTTAGAGCACAGTCCACATTAGTAACAATTTAAGAAATTGCTTTATTGATTTGTGGATCTGTGGGAATTCAGGTGGTTATTATTTTGCCTTCAGTAGACTTCAGGCTCCTTCATGGCAAAAAGGAGAGGATGATTTTAGACTTCCTAGTGAAAAGGTCTTCTATTCAATGCAATTTTACAGTTGTTACTTTGGGACATCAGATTTCCAGACCTCTCTGAAGGTGCTATGGGAATGAAAAAATTGTATGAGAACCCTCTGTACTGGATGTTCTCTGCACTTTGAGAAGTGGAGTCTGCCTTCTCTGTCCCCACCATCTGGAGCAGCAATGTGCCTTGTTTGAAAATGGGTTAGAGAAGAAAACTCGGAGGATTAGAAAACTGGAGATGGACTGCTATCCTGTACATGTTTGCTGAGGAATCCAAAAATGCTTTTAGGCTACTGATGGAATGATGTAAGATACCTTTAGCCAAGAGACTTCAACCCCTACCATGTCATGCTCTGTTTATACTCAGACTAGGTACAGTTTCAGCCAATTGCTGAGTACAACACGAATTGTCAGTAGGGTCTAATTTTCCTAATATTGAGTCACTGTGAGGAATGAAATCCTTGAATGGGACAGTCAATATTTAGATAGCAAGAGGGGGTTCTGTTGCACAGGTCCTCATAGTGGTGGTGTTGGCTGGGTCACGTGAGGCTCTGGGACCTGCATTACTGCTCAGATCCTACACATAGCTGTCTCATGTGCCTTGGGACCACTCCAGCACACGCGTTATCCATCCCTGGTGATTGTCTGGAGCTACAAAACCTCTTCTACCTCCCTAAATTCTGTACATGAATCTATCCTGCATGATTACTTTTTCCATCTGCAGGAAGTTTCTTCTGACTATGGACAAGTGACTGGCCACTTACAAGCCTCCTCTGACTACCTGCAGTCTGTGCAGAACTGGGTTGATTTTGTTGCTTTGGAGTTTCTGGATATCCTCCACCCTGGATATTAATCAGCACACTGAAACATAAATAAATGTTTCCAGGCAGTGGGTCCCGCCTGGAGGAATCCACAGAACCATCCAAATTCCACATGGAGAGTGCCAATTACTCAAATACATAAATGAGAACATGGATAGGAGTTGAAGTGATCAGCTTGTCTCCAGTCAGTTCATTGTTTAAAGTCAATCTAATGTAGCATCTCTACAGATGCCTACGTGCAGAGTTTCTGGATCTCCCAAGGAAAGAGATGTCCTTCTCTATATAATGATAACAACATATTATAAAATGTGCAGAGTTTCTGGATCTCCCAAGGAAAGAGATGTCCTTCTCTACATAATGATAACAACATATTGAGTCCATTAGAAAATTGTCCCTAAAGAGCAATGTAACAAAAATAGAGGAAATTTAATGGCACATGTTCTGTTTTATCCCTCTAGATAGCATCTATGAATCATATAAAAAAGTATGGGCTTATATTATTGAATGCTAATAAGTAATTAAAAAAAAAAGTCCAAGGATTTAGGCAAGCATCAGAGATGCTACTTTTGACAATAGTGGAAAACCACTGTATGCCTTAAGAGTAATGCTGAGGTGGTGAGATAAGAATGTCTGTCATAACTTTTCCACTCCAAAGCATACCTATCTGACATTCAGATTATGAAGCATTTCTCCATGTAACCTTATAAACATGAAGGAGTGTAAAGGTCAGGAGTGAAAATTATTTCCATGGTTAAAAACACCTCAGGTGATATTTGGCTTAGTTGTAACATTTATAGTATTTGCTAATTTCTCAGCAGAAAGGTGGGCTACCAAGAAAATAGCATTCCCAGAGGAGGAATATTTAAAATCTAAGCCACAAATGTCAATCTAAAAAACAAAACAAAACCTCAACCAAATAAAAAAAAAACCCCAAACGCAGGAATATGCAGAAGATTGTAGACAAAACTTTATACTTTTATCCCCACTTTATGCTAAAACACGATGACATTTTTTCAGCTCAGAGTGCAAAGATTCTATTACTTAAACTTAATTACTGAGACTTAATGTTTCCTCCTTGTATACATTACAATCAGGCAGGTGTGCAAGCCTTTAGCTTGTTCTTGGTGCTGATTTGCATGGCCACAGCATGAAGCTGCCCCAGGAGCTCCACAGCCTGGGAAGCCCTGTGCTGGAGCACTAGCTGACAGCCACTTGGAGTGAGGGCACAGATGTGGATCACATAGTCCAGTTACTTTTCAGTAAATAACTCAGGCCTGGTCCAAACTCCACTAAAGCAATGAAAGCCACCTCTTGGTGTCAGCAAGCTTTAGGTGAGGTTATGTAGCTCTCACAGTTGCTGCTTTGACTTTGGATCCTCCCAGTGATGATAACCAGTGAGTTGGAAGAGATTCTGTTCTTATCTACTAATGTCGTAAGAGGCTTGCAACTGGGGTCAAGTTCCAAATAAATCCCTCAATCTATTTTTTAACAATTTGGATATATTTGGGGCTGCAACAAACTCCCACTGAAGCCTGTGGCAGTTCACTGTCAGCTGAAATATGAACAGGAAAGTTGATGCTCGTGCTTCTTCCTTTTCATTGACAAATGTGACAAGCAGGCTTTCTGCATTAAGCAGTGTGCTATTTTAGTCAGAAAAGAATTCTAATATATGTTAATGAACTCGCCCACACATATGCACATGCTTTAGGCATAGTTGTCAGATTGCCCACTTAGTAGGTTAAGAGCAAGAGCTCCTCGAAAGTTGCCTTGTATTATTGGAGATTTAGCATATTGTAGTGGGGTGGCTGAAATGGGTGAGAGTTTGTGACTGCAAGACAGAGGCTAGCAGAAAGGAGACTGGCAGCACATGGAATAAACCAACTTTTTATGTCACTGCTGTGTCCAAACCTGTTAAAGGCTTCAGTGGGTCAAGTTGAAAGTAAAAGTGTTATTCTGTAACTAGCAGCCCAGGGACACACTTTCATGTCAAATGTCCATAAACTGAGTACCTTTGCTTGTTTTACTTAATTTATTTTTCCAGAGGAGCAGCAGCTCGGTGGAGACAAGTTCATCTATCCAGCTTAAAGCATTGCTTTCCATTTCAAAAGGAATGGCTGAAAGGGTATCACACCCACATAGTAAGAGGTAGATGGTGCCTTGATCATGTCACCTGTCACAGATGCTTTTCTACCAATGCCTTAGATGTCTTTGGTATTCAGTTCTGCGCAGTTGGCCACCATGAGGCAACTCTCTGCAAAAACTTCCCGCACTAAAGCCTTTCTCTGAGTAAAATCTGAGTTTCTTGTTGGAAACCTAGTTACTTGGGGCTTCAATGGGATTTTTGTGTGGGCTTTGTTTGTTTTTGTTTGCTTTTTTTTTTTATTTATTTAGAGAGATGCCTTATATCTCCTCTGGATAAAGAATTTCTTTAGTTTGGATTTTATCACAAGAGACTTCATAAAAAATGTTAGTCTAACATGTAACTAGCAGGGTCACTGTCATTATTTCTCCTGGGAAAGACACAAAATAATTACCAGTTGCAAAGAAAAAGCAACAAAAGCAATCTGTTGTTTCTGTCCAGCTGATTAAGTGGATGCTATGACAGTGGGGCAGTGTGAATATAGGTATGGATATAACTTCATCCCATGCTGAGTCCTCCACAAACTAGGTCACTGCAAACTGCAATTAAGTTAAATCAGTGTCAGGAACTTCTCTGCACAGCACAAGCTGTCAGCATCCCTTGCCTTGTCTTCTGTGGCACCTGGGGTCAGCCTCAGTGGATGTATGTCAGTCACGCTGACTGATCAACTCTTTTAGAAGAAAAAACAACAGAAAACCCCACGGACTTCTCCAATGCTGGGATTTTTACCACTTCTTCAACCCTGCTTTTGCTGGCTCTGATGTCAGAGAAAGTACCTGCTTCTAGATATTTTTATGCAGCTTATTTTAAGAAACAATAACATTAAAAAAAAATCATTCCTCCTAAGATTTTACAAACCTCTCTACTGTGCAGTGAGGCTGGTGCCTGCAGCAGTTACTCTGCTCACTCCCATTATCTCCTTCTGAGCGCTTGGTTGCATTGTGCTTAATTATGAATGGCCTCCAAAAAGCCCGTTTTATACTGTACTATGAAGTGACTCATATCACACAGAAGCTCCGACAACTCGCACCGGGTACTGGAGGCACATGGCGCTGTGTTAGTCAGTGACTCATTTCACATTGTACTCGGTGCTGAGATCTGACTCACATCGAACTGTGAGAGAAGCTGACTGACATTGTACTGGTCTGAAAGCTGGTTTGAATCGGGATGAGTCACCCTGGAGTGCATTAAGCGGTGATTCACACACTGTTTCCTATTGATTCCGATTGTCGCGATTCACTTTGGGTTGTACTACGCCGGCATCTGGCTGCTCTGCAGGGCAGGCACTGTGATAGCAACCCTCTGCCTGGTGAGCTCGGCTGTAGTGCCAGCCTGCAGTGTCAGCCAGGAGGAGTAGTCCAAAGTCAATTTAACGCTGAAGGAAGGTCAGAGTTTGGCTTAGCACACATTCACTTTGACCATGACACTTTCTGGGCTTTTTTGCTTCACCTGGCTTTGACAAGTTTTGAAAACGGCAAGTGAGGAGTAATGAACCTGTAGCTAAGAATCCTCTTACTTCTGAATGCCAGGAGATCTCCAGAGTACTTCCAAGACTTGCTGTCTCCTTTGTAACTTCTCTTAGTGACAAGAAGATGGGATGGATTTCTGTAGGTGACTGAGTACTGATAGTTGCTTAAATGCTTCAACTTTATCAACATTTGACCTGAGCTCCAAGAGACACAGACACCCTACAGCCTGAAAACTCCTCCCCAGTACTTTAAGCTCAGCCCTCAGACATCACTACTCAGTCTGTTCTAAGCAAGGGGTAGAGAGGTGTATAACAGCATAGGTTTTGCTTCCATGATTAAGTATTTGGGACTCAGAGTAAAGATATCATAGTAAATACTGATGTGAGGAGTAGATAAAGAAATTAAAGGGGAAATAAAGTAACTGTTCTCTCACCTTTGAGCATTTTATAAAATACAGTGCTAGTTTTATATTCAGTTGGCTCTGAGTTTAGAGAGACACCTGATTTAAACATGACGTTCCTAATTTTAGGAACCACAACTAGGAATCTCCCAGCGGATAACGATTCTGGTGATTCTGGCGTTTAGTTGAACTAGTGTTTATTGCTTCTGGTCCTGTAATACAGGAGTGGTGTAGATACCTCCACAGCCCACAGCTCTGCAGAGTACTGAATTTGATGCTGACATTCTGTTTGTGCAACAGAGGTACATACAGACTCCTTGCCATTATGTCATAGTGACAAACGTCATATGAAAAGTTTTCATTTTACATTTTTCAACAGCAAAAATGAAATAATGGAACGGTTGCATAAAGTAAATTACACTGCTATTAAATTACTGTAGGTTCTTACTGGAGTCTACAAGGATAATCTTATTTCACTTTCTGTATTTGTGTCCAATTTTCGTTACCCGCTTTTTCTTACCCACTGACATTATCTAATGACAGAGCTCAGGAAGAGCTCTTTCTCTTCTCTAAGGATGCTTGATGAGGCAGGCTGGCACTGGAAGTCTCTCTACAGAAACACTCGCCTGTTGCTGCTTCTCTCTCTAACTTGGCAGGGGAGCCCCGGGCTCCGGGAGCAGACGCACCGCGGGACCCCCTTCACGGTGGGGCGGGGGCACGGATGCTGCCGCATCTTCGTGAGACGAGGCAGAAGGGTCCCTGAGCGGGGCCGAGCCGAGGTGGTGTTACCTGCGCGGGGCAGGGAGGCGGCGCGGCCCGGGGTGCGATCCCGCCCCAGGGAGGGATCCTGACCCCGCTCCCGGGGCCGAGCTCAGCCGCTTGCTACCCGGGCTCTGCGCTGGGAGCTCTTGGGGAGGGACGTGGAGATGAGAGCCCGGGCGCTCTCGGCTAGCGGCTCCCGACCCTCCGGGAGACCGGGGGAAACGCCTTTTGCGCCGAGTCCCGGCCGCTCCTCCCGGGGAGGGCGGCCACAGCCGCTGTCCCGCCCCGGCCGCGGGGGGCACCGCCGCCCGTCCCGTCCCGTCCCGCCCGTCCCGTCCCGCTGCACCCGGGGCGGCTCCAGCCGCGGCACGGGGGTCGCGGCTGCCCGGAGCTCGGGCTGCCGTGCGCGGCTGCCGCCAGCGGGACCGAGCGCTACTTACGGTGTCGGCAGCGGGGCCCGGCCGGGCGTCCTCCCACGCTTCCCCTCCGGTCCCGGCGGGCTGGGCGACCGGGAGCGGCGGCTCGCCAGCCCCACGCATGCGCCCGGCCCGCGGGCTCGGCGCGGCCGCGGGTGGGTTCGCTCGCCGTGGCTGGAGCCGCAGGGAGCGAGCCCGGCAGCCCCCGGCCCGGCACGGCCCGACGGGGTGCGCTGCCGCCGGGTCAGCCCTGGCCAGGCGAGCACCGGGGGCTGCTCTGCTCAGGGCCGGTTTGCAGCGGGGTTAAACACAGCAGCGCCCGCACCGCGGCGGCGGGCTGGGGAGGGCGCGGGGGAAGCCATGGGACGGGCGCCGCAGGGAGGAATGCCGGAGGGACCGGCGTGAGAGCGTGTGAGTGGAGTGTGTGCGCGTTTGTGTGTGTGCGCTGATGGGAGGGAGTGGGAAGGGCTTGGAGAGGCGGCGGTGCCGCCGTGGGGCTCGGTGCTGGTGTTCTGTGCTCACAGATGCCTTAGGGGAGAGCCGGGCTTGTCAACCCGGCGCTGGAACATGCTCGCATTTTAAGTAACTGCGTGTTAGGATACACGTCTTCCCTCCCCTAGCCGTCTCCTGCTTTCCAGCGGCGCTGGGCTCGCCCTCCCGTTCCGCGGGGCAGGTGTGACACGGCTGCGGCTCCGTGTGAGGCGTGTGCCGGGCCGCGGGCTGGGCGCTCACCCCGCTCCTCGGAGGCGCCCTTGGGAACATCGCCACGTTTAGGGGATTCTCTCACCGATAATGACCCGCCGCCTCCACCCCCCCGGGCAGCCGTCTGCCTGGACAAGGCTTAACGGGACGACTGCCGCTTGCTAGTACCTCCGCCGTTCCCGGGCAGACCGACACTGTCTTCCCGCGAAACAAAGACTGATCCGGTGCGTGAACGCTCTGCGCGTTCCCGGTTCCCGGAGCTGGGCACCCGGCTGCCGTCGGGGCTATTCCCTTCCCGCCCGCGCAGCGGGTGCGGAGCAGGGCGGCCCCAGGAGCCGCCTGGCCGGAGCCAGCGGACCGGGGGCGGTAGGGATGGCAGCTGGGACCAGCGGGCTTCGCTGTGGCGCCCGGGGGCTTTGGGGCTTTGCCGCGGGAGCTCTCCCTGCTCCCCCGAGACTCCCACGCGCTGCCGGCTGAGGGCACGTGGGCGGACAGCGGCTTCCCTGGTGCGGGGAGCAGGAGGAGGAGGAGGAGGAGGAGGAGGAGGAAGGGGTGGACGCGGCCCCAGGAGCGGTACTCACGGCGCCGGGAAGCTCGGGGGCAGCGCGGGGCTGCGGCGGCGCGGCTCCGTGGCACGCCGGGCATCTCCGGCGCTCCGGGGGGAGGCGGCTGGGCGGCGGCG